CGAAGTATTGTGTAGGTGCAAGACGGTAACATTGAGTAATGGTGGAGGACTGGTAATGAATCGTTTTGAGGAGATTCATGGAGACGAAGAAGAAGAAATCCAGCCCCTTCCTTCACAGCTTTCTTCTCCTTTCGTCTATCTGAGATAACGAATTCGAATGCAATTTTATTATGGTTGAATAAAACCGGATCGTACCAATCAAAAACCGACGGTTTGTTCCGGTTTGGTAGACTTTCGTTTTCGTCGCTTCTTTCATCTTCACCCTCTATAAAGCCTCCGACATGAAAATCTAGGAGAGGCGACTCATTCCGTTCGGCTTCTTCCTCCAACATTCCATACCAAATCGAGCGGGAAACTGGAAATTGAGAGAAAGCAAGAGAACTTTGAATCTCTCGATTCTTAATCCCATCTCGGAATTTCACTTCCCGTTCGTGTAGAAATGGTGGTCGACCAAGATCAGCAATGGCTTCTCAGTTGCTTATCTGCAAGTCTTGACCCTAACCAGAACGTTCGCTCTTTCGCTGAGGCTTCACTCAATCAAGCATCTCTTCAACCAGGTCCGTCACTTAAGCGCCTGGGGTTAACTTCTGGGTATTTCTATTGGATTTTGCCTATTGAAACCGTAAACCCCCTCTGATTTTCTATTGGAATGAATGTTTGGGTATGCCCAAACAGTTGAAAGCATTTGAGTGGGTTACTTTTTGAGAACGATGAGTTCTGGGTAGATGATTGAAAGAAGAAATCACTATACTTTCTGGATTTTTGTTATTGTAGGGTTTGGTAGTGCATTGTGCAGGGTTGCTGCTAACAAAGACCTCGCGTTGGGATTGCGCCAAATATCCTTTTTTTCATAGCAATAGCCTAGATTTGTTTCCCCCTTAACAATCGAGTAGTCTCTCTGGAGCCTCATGATTGATAGAATGAAGGTTTCCTTTAGTTTATCTTGTGGAGTTCTTAACCTACTGCTACTTAGCTGCTGTTCTGTTAAAGCAGTTCATTAAAAAACATTGGCGAGAGAATGAGGAAGCTTTTGAATATCCTGTTGTCTCAAGTGAGGAAAAGGTACTCTCATTATTCCTGTTTGGATTCCCTTTTGTGATTGTTTTGCCTAAGTTTAGGAAAGTCTTTTGGGTTTGTTGTTAGGCTCTTATTCGAGGACTACTTTTGGGGTCACTTGATGACTCTCATAGAAAAATCTGTACGGCCATTAGTATGGACATATCATCAGTTGCCACCTATGATTGGCCAGAAGAGTGGCCTGAGCTATTACCCTTTCTCTTGAAGTTGATTAGCAATCAAAACAACATTAATGGAGGTATATCTCCCTTCAATTTTGTTGGCTCCCATTTCCGTACTTTTTCTAAGAACACTCAAGAGGTTTCCTCAGGCTGAACTTACTGCCAAATTCCACAGTTCATGGAGCTTTGAGGTGTCTGGCTCTTCTCTCTGGTGACTTGGATGACAAAGAGGTGCCTACGCTAATACCTGTGCTGTTTCCTTGCTTGCATGCTGTCGTATCCTCTCCTCAGGTTTGTATCTAATGTTGATACGATTAGACTCATATTGAATCACGTCTTTGGCATGTCTAGTCTACTTCTCTTAAATGAATATTTTTAGTGACAAAGGCTCTTACAAAGCTCACTCCCTTTTATTATTTTCATTTGTATATGTAGAATTATGACAAGTATATTCGAGGAAAAGCCCTTTCAATTATTTATGCATGTATATCTGTTCTTGGAGCAATGAGTGGTGTGTACAAGGTACATTTCGTTTAATCATTCTCATTTATACGTAAATTTTGAATGTATTTTACTTCAGATACTTCTGTTATCAGTTGACATATATAGCGTTTATATTTAGGCAGAAACTACTACTTTGGTGACGCCTGTACTTAAGATTTGGATGAATCAGTTTGGACTTATATTGGAACATCCTGTGCAAAGTGAGGATCCGGATGATTGGAATTTAAGAATGGAGGTTTGTCTCATCTTGTGATTGCTGTACTTTTGTTCCCATCACATTACATGACCGCGATCATGTAGCAGGCCCCTGTCTTTATGTTGATTTTGTCTGCTTTCATTAGGTCTTGAAGTGCTTGAATCAGTTTGTACAGAATTTTCCATCTCTCATAGAAAGTGAATTGATGGGTATGTTCTCGTGTGACCCATGTCCCTTGCTTATTGATACATATGCATCTGAAGCATTGTTATTGAAACATAATATTCTTGCAGCTATAATGAGGCCATTGTGGCACACATTTGAGTCATCTCTACAAGTCTATCTTCGCTCGTCAGTTGAAGGGGCTGAAGATTCATATGATGGAAGATATGATTCTGATGGTGAAGAAAAGAGTCTTGACACTTTTGTCATCCAGGTAACTTGCCATTTTCGCTGATCAAAGTTTGTTTTTCTTCAAGGTGTCAATTTCCAAGTTAATCTTTTGGGTAGAGCTAGGGCATTTGGATAAGAAATTGTAGTAGACTGGTTTATGCACATGTGTATCTTTTGTGCAGCTATTTGAGTTTCTGTCAACCATCGTTAGCAGTAGAAGACTGGCAAAGGTTTGGCTGAAACCTTTTTCAGTTTTTTCCTTCATTTTGGTATGTCGCTTTGGAAAATTGTTTTTTACACAACTCTTTTATTTCAGGTCATTGCCAATAATGTCAGAGAATTGGTTTATCAAACTGTCGCTTTCCTGCAGGTCACAGAACAACAGGTAGCGATGAATCATGCATCTTCTGCCTACTCAAACATGATAGGATATAGTGGTTAGATTTGGTCTTTAAAATAACTGATGATAACATGAATATGCATTGGGAAGCTTTACGAAGTTAGATAGCCTAGATATATCTGGCTGAGTAATTGCCTTGTTCAGCTGTATGGTCTTCTTCTTTGTTTAACAAATTTATCTCTTGCTATCTCAACGAATAAAAGACGACCAGGAAGCTGTTCCCTTTTACCATACCTCTGGCATTATGCAACCTTTTTTATGTCCCGTATTTCCTTAGAAGCAATATCTGTTTCCAATGCATATGTTTATTTCATAGTTTAATGGTATCTCACGTACTAAGTCTCAAACTGTTGGAACCTCTTCACTCAACTGTTAGTATTTTTGACGCGGACGGTTTGGAGCAATACAACTATTAATGTGCCTATATATCGTTTGCCATGTAGTGATTTCATCTGTTGTTTATATACCGTAAATTAGCTGCTAAAATCTTAAAACAGCAGTATTTGTAGAATCTTGAGCTAGCTCAGATACAAGATGTTTTTTAAGCTAGCTGTATCATCCCTTTCCATTGTATTAGGTCTCACAAAATCGTACATAATGCTATGTTGTTATTTACTTGTGCTAGCTTCCTTTTTGCTCACTAGGAAGGCGTATTTTGCGGTTTATATGTCTAACATTGCAGAAAAGAGATGCATTTATTCTTTATCTCATATGTAGCTTCTCTTCAGGTTCATACTTGGTCCATGGATGTAAATCATTTTGTAGCTGATGAAGATGAGGGTAGCTACAGCTGTCGTATATCAGGTAAGCTTTTTCTCACACTTCGTAATTCAAACTCATATGCTTATGTTTAGCCAGAGACAAGATTCGGAACTCGTATGAATGTATATGCAGAATTTATGTGTAACTATACAAATACCTGATGCATCACAGGAATACTTTTGTTAGAGGAAGTTGTCAATACTTTTGGTGGGGAAGGGATCAATGCCATTGTAGATGCTGCTGGAAAACGGTTCCAAGAGTCTCAAGGTGAAAAGGCAGCTGGTTCTCCGGCCTGGTGGAGAGTAAGTGCACTTGATTGCTCTTTGTTCTTGTATTTCTTGGAAGATTTGACAAGCCATTATTTCTTTGATGTTTTAATATTGTCACCAGTTCTATGAATTTCTATTTCTTCTCTCCCCCATTCATGTTTTCCTTTTAACTTTCTAGTTTCTACCTTTGATATTTTTCATTTGTTAGATAAGAGAAGCTGCTCTCTTTGCTTTGGCTTCTCTTGCCGATCAACTTGTTGAAGCTGAGGTTTCCAATTTAGATAAATTTGTTGAGCAATTGATAATGGAAGATACCGGAATTGGTAGGTGTCGTAAGATCTGCTCCAACATATAGTTTTCATTTGGTATTCAAACCGTTGTACATGACTGATTGGCTGGAGGCTTCATTTAACAGGGTACCATGAATATCCTTTCCTTTATGCCCGCATATTTTCAGCAGTCGCTAAGTTCTCCTCTGTGGTAACTTCTGATTTTCTTTTCTCCCTATATAAATTTATTCTGGAATAGATGAATTGAATCCTTTTCACGTAAATTAGATCAACCCTGGAATTCTTGAGCACTTCCTCAATGCTGCTGTTACAGCTATAAACATGAATGTGTATGTTTCCTGCCCTTCTGCTGGTAGTATCTTTATCGCCAGAGATAAAATTTAACTTGCTAGATACCATTATAAACAGGCCTCCACCTGTAAAAGTAGGCGCATGTCGGGCACTTTTGCAGCTTCTACCTGATATGAACCGTTCAGTCATTCTGCCTCAGATCATGAACTTATTCTCATCTCTCACTGATCTTCTCCATCAGGTAAATTTATCTACTGGCAACCAATTAGAATAGCGTGCGTCTGTTTTTCATTTGTGTCACTAATGATGTTTTGTTCTTTTGTTCAGGCTTCAGATGAAACTTTGATTTTGGTACTTGAAACTCTTCAACAAGCAGTTAAGGCTGGTAAGTCAATATAATTTCTCTTTGCAAAAAACTTTCAGAACCTAGTAATGTAATAGTTCTCACCTAATTCTTATTTTCTTTATTATTGCTAGGCCATGAAGCATCTGCCTCAATAGAGTCTATTATATCTCCAGTGATTCTTAATGTGTGGGTGGCACATGTTTCAGATCCCTTTATAAGTATCGATATAATTGACGTCCTGGAGGTAAATAGTGTGAATGTGGTTATCATTCATCTCGCTGTTAGAAATGCAATTTTTGTAGCTTGTTCATGTTAAACTCTTACCACTGCTTCTGTCATTGTAAAATGAACAAATATTACTTTGTCTGCGACTAATATCTTTCTTCACAGGCAATAAAGAATTCGCCTGGCTGCCTTCATCCACTGACATCAAGAATTTTACCATTCATTGGACCAACTATAAATAAGGTGCTGTTCGGAATCATACTTTCTGAACTGTTTTTTTCTCAGTTAACTATTTTCTCTTCCCTGATTTCCTATTAATGACATCTTTGTGGTAATAATCAGCCACATCAACAGCCTGAAGGACTAGTGAGTGGATCCTTGGATCTTTTAACTATGCTTCTTAAGGCAAGTTATACTAGCTGGATCTTTCATATTACGCGATTTTTTTTTTTCTGCTTAGTGGACATTCAGTATGTCTCGTGTTTTGCTGACTATTTTTCTAGTCGTATATAGGGTGCCCCGAGTGATATAGTGAAAACTGCATATGACTTTTGCTTTGGTGCTGTCATTCATATCATACTTCACAGTGAGGACCATAGTGAACTACAGGTGATGAATTTTCCCGCTTCTGGTTTGCTTCATTGTTATCTATCTACAAAGGATTACTTATCACTAGCCTTTTAATTCATCAGAATGCTACAGAATGTCTGGCAGCTTTTATATCTAGTGGAAGACAAGAGTTGCTCACTTGGAGTGGTGATCCCGGTTTTACCATGAGAAGTTTGCTTGATGCAGCTTCTAGGTACAATTCTTCTTTTACCTTTTTGTTTGGTTAATTTCACGTCCACAAAAGCTGAAGGCATACTCTTTTGTGCTTTCTTTTTGCATTTGTTATAATGCTGTGCATATGTGAATATTATGGCATCACTAATGCATATAAAAAGAAAATCAGTGATGATTTTTGGGTATACATAGGTAATTCTATTTACCATAAAAGATCTAGTCTGAAACACTTGCAATTGTTCTATTTTTTAGAGTAGTTTTCTGGATAAATACGGTGATATATCTACATTTATTGAAATTGTTTGATAAAGTGTTTTGAGCACCTTGGTTTGTTGGTTCCTCAATGTATTCCTACTGGTATCTGTTTAAGTGTACTGTCTCTCTTTCAAAACCAATTTCTTAATGTTTGTTCAGGCTTCTCAACCCTGATCTGGAATGTTCTGGATCTCTGTTTGCTGGGAAGTACATACTGCAGCTTATATTGCATCTTCCGTCAGAGATGGCACCTCATGTTCCGGATCTGGTTGCTGCTCTTGTAAGACGGATGCAGTCTGCTGAAATGTCGGGTTTCAGAAGCTCATTGCTGCTGATTTTTGCCAGATTGGTATTCTTCACCTTTCAGTTGGATAGTTTAGCATTTTAATGGTTACTCTCTTCTTTGTAAGATGCTGCTGTTAGTTCATGAACATTTTATTCCTGTCCTGACTCCTGCGTTGTAACTAGAAGCATCTTTTTCCATTGATTTTGGCAGGTCCATATGAGTTTTCCGAACGTGGATCAATTTATCAATCTGCTTGTTAGCGTACCCGCTAATGGCCATGAAAATTCCTTTGTCTATGTTATGACAGAATGGACTAAACAACAAGGCAAGCATCTCTATTCGTATTATGTAGCTGTATGATTCTCTTTGTCTACCTGATGCATCACAACAAGGTTTTCTCTGGCGATTTCAACTTATGGTTGGTTAATCACCTATATTCAGGGGAGATACAGGGGGCATATCAAATTAAAGTCACATCTTCAGCTCTGGCCTTGCTACTGTCCACTAGACATTCTGAATTCGCGAAGGTCAATGTCCCAGGCAGTCCGACTCAGGTCTTTTGCCG